GTGGGGCAAAGTGAAATGAAAATCTCATCATTCAAAGGGATATCGAAGTGTTAAATTTTGGTCAGAAACATACCCTATAGTAAAGCTTTAATGTATCTTGTAAAATGAACAAGTTTCATCTAACCAAGAACAATGGTTGCAAAGTCTAATTTTTACCCAAAAAAAAATGAATTAAGAAGAAAGATATTGAAATTATTGACTTCGTCACGTTGTCCTTTTTGTGGAAGAATGACACGGGCAATGATATTTTGTAAAACTTTGCAAGGTAGAAAGAGTTGATTGACACTAAGCTCGATGATATTTTCCTCGTAACTTTATGGCAAACTTCGATTGGACAATTTACCTTCTAGAGTTGGACGAGCATTGTGTAGAAAAATTTGATTTTCACATTTCTCGAGCTTAGGAATAGTTAGGATAATATTTTTGGTGATGGTAATTCCGGTGTTTTTGAGTAAGCATGAAATCCCATCCATCTAGGGGTGACAACTATATTTTTATAAAACTCTTTCATGAGTCGAAGATATGCATTTTCTTCTAAAGATGCAACCAAATGCCCAACCCATATTTTTGAAATATTCTTTAATATGAAATACGGGGGCTTCAGTAGGAAAATTGACAAAAGCAACATTCTTACTGATAAGAATGGGTGATTTTTCAAATATATTTTTCGGTACCTCAAGTTCTTCATTAGAGGAGACCATCTTGCCATGCTTTTTACTCTCTTGCCCCTTCCTCATCAACTTGACATGATAAAGTATGGGTTTGAAGAAGTCGTATACCAATTTTTCTGACCTAAGGTGTTTAGAAACATAAATACCATGAGTTTTGGGGTTTTAATGGTAAAAAGCTAGGGATTTTTAATTATAGGAGAAGTATGGATTTTAGGATTTGAAGGAGGATATTGAAGATTTTATAAAGATATGTGGGGGACTTGCGGTAGACGCACATACTAAAGAAAATAGAGGAAAGAAATGAAGAAGAACGGTACGTGAAGACATTTTAAAATTCTAAATATCCGACCGTCCAGATGTCCACTACACCATCCTTGTCCTACCAATTCAGACCAAGTACCCAGTCATCCACCAACCGTCCAACCCTTTAAGAAGGGGAATTTGTAAATTTAAGAAATATTTTTTGACAAAAAATATTTGAAGTTTATCCTTCTGAATTGGCTTGGAAAGGATAAATTTGAATAATAAAAGAAGTACAAGGTATTACTTCTTAATCTAAATCTTATACAAGATAAAAAAATATTTTTGAAACAAATATTTGAATTACGAACATAACCTTTTGAAAGTTTATATTGAATATTAAGTTTTTCACCACTAGCACCATAAAGACACTCAATATTTTTTCTAAGTATTTTTTAGGTATCAATCCTTCCATGATACAATTTTAGCCTACTCTAGAATCAAAAGGACATTTTAAGTAAGTTTGAATTCTTTATTGACTATAATAGTCATATTGTAGTATCACTTTTGAAGTTGAATGTGGTTAATGATATTAATATTTTCTTCTTCAGATTGAGAATTTTCATGAGGAGTAGCCTGAGGAATATAATCTTCATTAGAAGAATGTGATGAGAAATCTCAGGTGGAAGAAATTTTGGATTTTTGTTTTAAATCTTGGGTTTTGAGAAGAGTAACTTCAATTCTTACTTCTTTCACTTTGCATTCAAGAATAGAAATTTGGGATTTCATAGAATTGATATATAATTTTAAATCAGAAATAGAAGATTTCGAAGTTTCTTTTTTAAAATGATTCATAACATTTTGCATTCTAGAAGGTTTTGAAGTATATTTTAAAGAAGATTTTGAAGGTAAAAGAGCACTGAACTTATTTTTGAGTTGTGGATTATCAATTTGATCAATAATTTCTTTAATAAGTTCTCCTTCATTAGTAAGAACATTTATAGTTTTATAACCATAAAGTTCTTTACTTTGATTAGAGGCAGAGAATGAATTTGAATTTGATTCAACATCAGAATCTTCTTGATGTTGATAAACCTACTCTAAATCAAAAATAAATTCATCATGAGACCTGGTCTTTGAATCAATAAGACTGAAAAGTTCAAGCTTAATATCTTCATCTATTTGAAGATTATTAATCTTGCTTTTCAGAGGACATTTGTCAAAATAATGCCCTGGCTTTTTGCATTCTAGCAAGTAACATTATATTTTTTTGAAAATTTTTTCTTCTGAAATTTCTTTTTAGAAGGATACGATCTTTGAAAATTATTTTCTTTTAGACGAAAACTTTTTCTTTTTGATTTTAAAGGAGGAACAATTTTCTCAAATCCATATTGCTCACAAAAAGATTTAAGTTCTTTTCTACTCTCAAGTCTTTTTTATTTCGATTTGGCTTTGATTTTAAGTTCACTGCAGAGAGCTAATCCTTCTTAATTTATGAAACTGATTAATTCTTCAAAAGTAAGGTAGTCATAAGAAATTGAATTATCACTATTTTTCCTTATTGAATTTTTGACTCTTCTTGAAGAAAGTTTATGAAGTCCAGATAAAAATCTTTCTTTCCAGTAAGGTCGATTACAATCATTTCCCAGTAAAACTCGAGTTAAAAACATTTCATTATACCATTGAAAATCTTGTAAAGTAGAACAATTGAGATTCATTAAAATATCAGGGACTTTTCCTAAAGTATTTGTTAAAATTCCAATAAAATGTTTGATAATGCTGTGAACAAGATAGTAAAACTATTGTTTGTACCATCTTCTTTTACAGCAGTAGCGATTTGATTTCTGTCTTCAATAGAAAGATATTTGAACCACCAATTATTTAATTGGCCAGTAAATCCAATAGTAATATTGTTTGTAGCTTCTACAGGGCTATCATTTTGAAGAAGATAAGAACTATAGCAAATACCCATTCTTTCAAGATATTGAATAATTTGATATTTAGATAAACAGTCAATATTCCATTCGACCTCCTTAACTTATTGATATGGGGAACTTCATCATCAATAGATTGAGACTAATTTATAGCATTGATATTATTTGAAGTAGAGGAAGAAGATAATTTTAATAACTGGGTTGCAAATTCCTTTAGAACATTAATATTGTTTTTGAGATTTTTAGGAGTAACTGCATAAAACTTAACTAAAGCTAGTTTCATGGGTTGTTTAGAAAGTTTTGAAGAAGTTGATGCCTTAGATTTAGAATTTATTTCAATTCTATTAAGCTGAGAATACATAGATTAAAGAACTATATTGCTGCAATTATTGTGGGCTTTATTATTTTTTATATCTTTAGTTATGACCTCAGAATTATCTGATCATTTTGCAGATATCTTTTGAGTAGAGAAGTAAGAATTCCAGTATTTTCTTGATGTACCATTTCTTGCATAGGAGGATAAGAAGGTTGAATAGCATCACCAGAAGGTGTTTTCCAAGTATTTTTTGAAATATCTGTATTTTGAATAATTTTTTTTTTGGGTTTTCTATTATAAACTTTGATATAAACTCATTCATAAAAACTTAAATCTTTAGAAATTTATAATATTCTTCCCAAAAAGATTCTCTTTCTTCTTTTGAAAAATTTTTGACATCAGCAGACTGATCAATTTAGATTTACTTCTTCTCTCAATATTAGAAGAAATAATATTGCATTGTTGATCTAGTCTCTCTAGAAGAGGGGGTAACATATCAGAGAAAGTTGGTGAACAAGTAGTTCTAATTCTTCTACTTTATCTTCATATTTGAGGTTTTGGAATGTTTGAATTAAAATCAAAACTAGTCAAAGAAGACGTTGAAAATCTTACATATTGAAAAGAAATCTCTCTAGGTCTATCTTTGGATCCAGAAAAGAAAGATCTTTAAAATGAAAATGATCATTTAAAAATCATCTTAACATTTCCATCAGGAAAAGTAATTATTTGATTAGAAATAGCTTGAATAGGAGTAGGAATAAGGTTTTGAACATTCTCAAAATTTCATTCAAGGCTTCTAGTTTGAAGATTCCAAGGTATTCTCTTGGGAATTATAGTATTAGAATGAAAAGGATTGACTTCTACCATCTTTTAGAGGTGAACAAAAAGCATCTATATTGAGTTGAGTATTCATAATCTTGTAATATATCCTATATATTACAACAAAAGTATTTGAACGATCATCAAAATCAAGATTCCTTGTTTGAATATGAAGATTTAGAGCATCAAGTATAGCTCCATACTTAAGGGTGATAGAAAAATTTGGATAACAATTTAAAAATACAAGACCACTTTCTAGGTTTGATTCTAAAACGGATAATAATGAATTTTTGAATTTGAGAAGTCTCTTATCTCTAAAAGTTAAGAAAATATGAATTCTAAAGCAAGTCAAAACAAATGTTCGACGGCAATTTGAACAAATCCTATATGAAGATATTTGAATTTTTTCCTATGGGATTCAATTGCTTCTTTTGAAAATAAATTGATATAAGCATTTTGACTTTTAATTGGTAATGTTTATTCAAAGATTTTGATAACATAATTTTGAGTAAAATCACACTTTCCTATATCAAATATAGAGCTTTTCTCTACCTTTGGAATAGTGCATTTACTAAGTCTTTGCTCAATTTAAGCTATTTGAAGTTAATGAGAATTGAAATTATATGATGCAGAAGTAGATGATTGATCTAATTCTTCTTCATTTTAAAAATCATTTAATATATTTTGAGATCTATTACTCGATCTCTTAAACCAAGTTGAAATCGAAGACATAATTAAATCAAATGAAATTATAATAAATTACCATAGTAGAAACAATGCTACAAGATAGACTAACTCTTACCAAACCTACAATAGGACCACCCTAGCACATCTGCACCGGCTCAACATGAGCTGACCAACGCTATTGAGCAGACATCTAGATTTGAATCAAGTTTTCCTTTGACATAGTATCTAAAATGAAAATTTTTATTTTTTTAATTATTATTATTATTATTATTATTGTTTTCAAAATTTGATTTTAATGATGCCCAAAGCCAATTTTTTTAGCTTAGGGAAGGGCTTAACTAAATCGCCCGACGCGCTGCAATACAAAGTCAAAACTGTTTCTGCTCCAACCTACTATTGTCCGAACCCCGATTCTTCAATCATCAGGTATACCGTTTTCGTTCAACCCCAAACCTCCATTTTTCTCTACTGTCTCCTCTCAACTATCTATCTGTATCAGTCTCTTGTGTATGTATTGTACTCGTTACTTGTACATCTATGTCTATATTTATGCATATCGGTATAATTTGAATGGGCAAAGGGGTAGCCACTTCCTATGATCTTATGTTTTTATACAGGTCAGAGTTGCCTCATTTTTGCTTCACCAAAGCAGATCTACACTGAACGGTTTCTCTGCAAATTATATACTGTGTTTTGTGATGTGGTACTGCTAATCAATACTGGTGAAACGGTTATTTGAGATTCTGGATTTATTTATTGTAGACTGTGTAGTAAAAATATTTTATATGTGCTTTTTTGCTTAGTTCATAAAAGTTGGCTGATGGGTTCATGGTAAAAGCTAATTTTTTAAAGATAATTTTTAGTGGTAATCTTGGTGGTAGTTGGTTTCTTGATTTAGATTCAAAATTTCGGCTGAAGGAGGTGATGGTAAATGAGCAACATCTTCACTTGGTGTGGATAATAATTATGCCTGCGTGTTTTTGAGTTGGATGATTCATTACCTACCCATAAAATGTGAAGAAAAGAAGATAAAATTCGAATTTGTGTAGTTGTAATTTGATCAGGGATAAGTTCTATGGCATATTGCGAGGGAAGACCAGATATGGATGGGGAATTAAGAATTTCCATTCTCCAAATTGATATCTTTCAGTAAATATACTGTGTCTATGTCCAAAAAGTTCCGTACCAAAATTTAAGTAATAACCTGAATTTTACCCTGAGGACAATAGAAATAAGTAGGAATAGAGAAGTCTGATCGAAGACTTTTCATCTCTGAGCAGAACTTCTACTGATAATCATTTTTTTCTGTTGGTTTCCATTCAAAATCTATGGTTAACAAGGTTAAGTGAACCATTTAACTTGTTTAAGATGCTTGGGTTCACACCTTTCAAAGTCCTTTAGTGACCATGCTGAGGGAGTGTTTTATTATATTAGTTGGACGAGTTGGGGAGGAATTTTGATTTGCTGATTACCAATCTACACTTGTCCTAGTTGGAACAACTTAATGTCAGTTTTGTTTCATAACATGTTTGGTTGTCCTTAGAAGTAAATTTTTTTCTAACACTTCAGATAAAACCTCAAAAAGGTTATATACCTTTTTCCTTTTATGTAAAGATACTCATGAGTGAGTATTTTATTTTTATTATTTTTTTTAAAGCTTAATTAAACATGCTCATTATGCTTATACTGCTATGTCATGAAAGTCTTTTCTCAGTTGTACCTTCTAGTGTTAAAGAGATGATCAATAATCTTTTATTGCCAGAATTTCACACTGAGGCATTGAAAATATTCTTCTAGTTTGGTAGAAAAATTAGAACTCTAAGATGCTGTACTGTTTGTCTCAAAATGATCTTCTTCTTTTATGCATTTCCTAGAATATGCATGGGATTGCACTATAGAAATTCTCTTTCCATTTCTCTATGCTTTGATGGATGAAATTGTCCGTCAGAATTCTTGAATAGGTGGTTTAAGTCTCTATACCATGTTTTATTGAAGCAAATAATGATGCACTAGTAGCTCTAGAACTATAGAACCTCACAGTAATCAAGTAAATATAGTTTTTAATATTTTTTTTGGGGGAGGGGGGGGTGTTTTTACCTTAGCTGTATCATCTTTGAACATAAAATAAAGTTTCATCAGATTTCACTGCATCCACTGAATTTCCTTTTGTGTCACTTTACTAGTCTTCCAATTCATTTCACTTTTGGTATTGGTCAATTTGCGTATTGATTTTGATCGAGTCCCATAAACATAGAATATTTAGTTAAGTGATTAAGTTAAAACAAAGATAAAAATTCGAGGAGTTGACTGGACGATCTCAGAATGTTGTCTTCTCACTTATAAATATCATGAAAGAAGAAGTGGCTGAATCCTAGTGATTGAAAAAAGTGTTGAGTATTCTAAATATAAGTTTGTTGGGGTACCTTAATTTGAAAACACAAGTCAATATGCTCATATATCACACTACAGCTTCTGAGATAAGAAACAAATACAATTTTTAGTTAAAGAGCAAACTCTTGCACAATATTGAGAATTCTTAGTGAAGTAGTAAAATATCATTTCTAATATTAAGAAATGATTTCCATGGCTGGATGAACTTTTGTGAACATCAAGAAAAATAAAAATAGAAGGCAAAGGTAATGCATGCTTTGTGGAGTTATTTGAGGAAACAATAGTCAGTAATATATACATCTGTCTTTGAAAGCATCTCAAAATCGAGCAGAGTAAATTGAGATAGGAGGTTTTAGAAATCGTATGCTACGTTGCTAAATTTTAAGGGGATTTATCGAATCAAAATTTTGTTTAGAGGTTAATCTTAAAGCTGATAAACTTTCACATTTGACTCTTAAGTCAAAAACGGGTTTAGATATAGTTTCTTTCTTTTAATCCCACTATTTGGCACCATTATATTTATGAAAAATATGTTTTACCTCGCATTGATGTTGGAAGTGCTTTCTCTAGTATCATATCGTCTAATTGGGCCTTTTTCTTTTCTTTTTCTTTTTTCATCATATTCGTTCTTCTGATGTGTATTTTATTCAATTGTTACATAACCTTTATAATATGAGCTGCTGCAATACTACAGCATGGCATCAAGCAGTGGTCAGAATGGAATTCAACTCTTATTAGCTGCTGAGCAAGAAGCTCAACATATCGTCAATGCTGCTAGAACTGGTGATTATCTCTTCAGTGTTATTGTCACATATCTATCCAATTGATTCTTTCACATTATCAAAATAGGCACTCCTCGTAATAGAGGGACTGAACAAATTGATGAAGACACTAATGCTTATTACTTGAAATTGCATAGTATTGCTCTGCATATTTTATATCACATATCATGATGACATATAGACTTAAATGCCAGGAGGACATTTTTCACCTTTTGTTTGGAAGGAAAATGTGATAGGGAAGAAAGTATTTTTGTTTATCGTAAATGACTGGTGATGCTAATTTTTGTTACGTGTCACACAAAAGATGACTGGTGGAGAAAAGCATGCAAAATTCTCAACTTGAAATTCTCATCTTTTGCAGTAGCTTGTGTTATAATTCAAATATAAAATGTTGTTCCTTTATTATAGCTGAATCACTTGGCCCCTGTTTGATAGCCTTTTCTTTTTTTTTTATTATTATTATTATTATTATTATTATTATTATTATTATTATTTTATTTTTTTTTATTTTTTATTTTTTATTTTATTTATTTATTTTTTTGTTTAGAATGAGTTTTTGAATAGAAAATTTTTGGAGAATGTGTGGTTAAAAATAGGAAAAAGTTTTGGGTTTGCGTGAAGAATATTTTATTATAAAAATGTGTGATAGAAAATCAGTATGAGAAAGAAAGTGTTTTGAAATAAAAGTTGTCAAATGGTCTTTATTATGAATATCATATAATTCTTACGCATTTTCTACAATGTAAATTATACCGTCAGTGTACGGTGTCAAGTTTTATAATATATGAATGGAGTTAAAATATCAAATTCATAGGAATTGTAATTTAATTTTATATTAAGTACTGTAATTATGTAGCCTCTATTTTATCTAGATAAATGAATTTTTAAATCAATATCTTATCTAAACTAGGGATGATTGACAAATTCAATAAATAAATGCACGTTATACGAATTAATCAATATAGAAGAGCCTAGGGTATGATTGCACTAAATTATCAAATATGATTTTCAAAAACCTACTTTTCTCTAATCATTTTCCATGTTTATAAGCAACAACCCTAAAATAATTTTACCCCTTCTTTCGAGTGCCAGGTAAAAATTAATCATAGAATTAATTCCAATATCTCTATTCCGAATTAAAAACAAAATTTATAAATATTGTGGTTCTTAGATGGAACAAACTTCCTATATTCTACATGAAATCCATAAAATTTAGGTTGTGCTACTGTTGTGATCAAGACTAAGTGTGTGTATTCAATTAAGACTTTTAATGACTTTTTCGGATTTAAAAAGTTTTGGGGTATTCAATTGAGACTTTTTAAGACTGTAAAAATCAGGGTGTATTTAATTGAGACTTTTATAGACTTTTAAAAAGTTTTTAAAAGTCAAAGTGTATTCAATTAAAATTTTTTAGAAGTCTCTATAAGTCTTGGAGTATTCAAATTTTAATGACTTCTAGAGATTTTATAAAAGTTTATCTTAAAATTTGTCTCTCATTAATCACGAGAATTTGGGAGACTTTCTTAAAAATATGTTTTTTTTTTCAATCTTTATTTCCTTTAACCTTCTATGGATATGTATAATTAAAATTTATTTTTTCTATACATTATATTCCATTTATCTCTCTCTCTCTCTCTCTTCTATTATTTATCTCTATTTTCTATGAAAAAATTAAATTGGATTCTTGTAGCTTTTTTTTTTCCTTTTTCATTCAATTTTTTGTGAAAAAGAGATATAATTAAATTTAAATATATTTATTTTTAAAAGTATACTATACTAATAATATCGAATCATATATATGTATAATTTTGATTATTATTTATTTAATTAAGGTCTTAAATTTTTATATTTAAAAAAAAAAATTATCATATGGGAAGAAGAAGGAGAAGGAAAAGAGGAATTGTGGGGACTAATACCTCGTATGTGAGAATTTCACACCAGATCCACATGAATTTTATTTCAAATAAAAGTCTTCAAAAGTTTTTTGAATTCCACAAAAGTTTATAAAAATTTTAAAATGAAAATCCGTATAAGTTTACGAAAGACTTTTACTAATTCTATACAAATCTATAAAAGATTCACAAATTCGCAAAAGTCGTCACTTGAAAAAAAGTCCATCAAAGTTTTCATAAGTCTCAATTGAATACACCCTCCTAAATTTCCCTATCGAGTGTCGGAATTGACTAGCATCTAATAATTCAATTCGTCGTCAATTAATTAAAAGCATTAAATCAAACACAAATAAATGGAATTAAAAAATTTCATAGAAATAATTAAAAATAATCAAATCATATTTGGCTAATCAAACCCTAGAAAATTATTTTATTCATATATAAGACATGAAATCCATACAATGCATAAATAATAACATGAAGAAAAGAAAGACAACTATTTTTTTGATGGATGAATCAATCTTCTTCACCAAGCTACCTTTGCCTCCTTGATTTCTTGAATCTCGTGTCATTCAATTCTCTGAAAATTAGTCTTTAGGATAGTATTTATATTATCTTGAATTCTTGGAAGGGTTGGGGTTGGATTAAGCTAAGAGAAGAGTCCAAAAGAATTTCTTTTTCTCACTCAGCGACGCCACATTGTTGTTAAAATTCTGCAACGGTTGCACTGTGGCGTCACTAAAATGGTGCTAAGACAACCATGTTCGGGTGAAAAACAGCATTACGCATCTTTCAGTATTTTTATCATGATTCTTTCTCTCCATATCGGATTAAGATGATTCAAAATGTGTTGAAAAGATAGCTTATAGGGGTACAACTTTACTGTGGATAACTATTTTCAATTCGAACGTTTACTACGTTTAAATATTTTGATCACATTTTACTCCTTTTTGACTTCTAATTGCATCCAATGACTTCTAGCAATCTCCAATTATTATTTATTGGTCCAAATCAAATATTAAAAAGTTACAATTAAATCCTCAAACTTTGAATTTCACCATTTTCGTTGTTATGCACTTCTTTCAGTTTAGCCTCCAATCATCAAATTTCACCAAATCAACTTTAACTTCTTGATTCATACCAAAATCATTATTTTCTCCTAGTTTCGCATCATTCATATCAATTTTCCTAACCTATAAAACAACATGAAAACACAAATCAAAACTTACAAAAACTCTAAGAATCAAACGAAATATCAAGATATGAGTGAAACACACCATCAAATTTGTTTTCTTTTATTCTATTCCCAAGGGTGTAATCTGATGTTGATTTACAAATCATTGCTCCTTACCCTTTCCAATTTAATAAGATTTTACTAATTATAGTTCAATATATCAACAAATGAGGATTCTTTTTATTTCTGATTGCCTCAACCTCCAAAAATCAACCAAGTTACTAATTCTTTATCAAAGGAATAATATTCTAAAACAAGTGTTTGGGGCTTAATCAAACATATGCATCTTTTGTTTTATGCACATTTGCTTTTTTAAATATATATTCTTTAATTAATCTTATGCGTGGACGTATCGACATTAAGCTTTCTAAATGACCCTTATAGTGAGTTTTAGGTCGATGACTCTCAAATTTGATGACTTTAGGGTATCAAGTTTTAAATTCTTGTAGGTTTAATCACTTGAATTATAAAGGTTACGAAAAGACGTTTCACAATGAAATTATTATAGTTGTTCTGGTTGGGATCTTTTAGGGTAATTTTACAACAATGTTGCTTTTTTGCTTTTATACAATGATTAGCACAATGTCTCCTTATTAAATACTCATTCTCGAAAATCAATCCTTAATGTTTTCACCCAATTTTCATCATATTGGTCTTAGACAATCAACATAAAATTATCATACATGAAATCCACACTTATCTCCAAGTTTCCTTGTAACAGCTCAGCCACTTAAGCTATCTTAGATTTGATTTAAGGATATAATAATGTTTAGTTATTTGGATTTAGTATTTAAGTTCTCTATTTCAACTTATAAACATGAATCAGCTTATTCGTGTACAATGATGCAATCAATTCGTGTGCCTTGGTATCTCACGTTCTACATGAATAAGCAAAAAATTAACTAAGGCACATAACTTATTCAAGTTTCATATCTAACACATGGTCTCAATTATATACATTAATGTCGGCAATGCTATCTAACTTACACAAGCATGCAAAAACAATATATGTATATTATTTATTTAATTTTATTTATTTATTTTTTAAACGGCCTACAAATCACACAATAAAAAAACTAAGATAATTTGATAATTTATATTTCACCTCCCAAATTTAAACTTAGCATTATCTGCAGTGTGAAATAAAGGAAAAGGAGGGGAACATTATTGAATTGTCGTATTGCTAATGATGTTATGGTGCTATGATGCTGAATTTGATGGATTCTTCTTCTATCTTCTCCCCTAAACTTGAGATTTCCTACATAAAAAACATGAACTCATTACTAACTAAAATTTTACACTAATATCTAAAATAAGAGGTAGAGAGATAAAAAGTTTGGGTTGCCTTTCAAGAAGTGCTTCTTTAACTTCATTAGCTTGACATAACCGAAATGCCTAAGTTAGGTCTTCAAGTGGCACTTCCCTCACGTTTCCAAACTTGTTCCTTAGCTTTGAACTCTTCTTCAATATAGTATGGCAACTAAGATTAGGAAGCTGCTTCACCTTCAGTATAGTCTTCAAAATCTCTTTTGATTTGATAATGTTGGGAGGTTTTAAAGGTTTTTCAATATAGTTCTTTCTGGCCAGTTGATCGGCTCCTTGAGCTATGATGAAATCCACAACTTCCTTGGTCATGTGTGGCTTCCAATAGCGGCTTTATCAATCGTTGAATAACTAGTTGCCATGTACTACTCTAGAGGGTCATATAGAACATTTCTCTTTTGAAATTTTTACCCTCCCTGCTTCAATTAATTGGACTATGTGGCAAGTGTTGACTTTTTCTGAAGATTTATTCGTTTGATAAATGTTGAACATGATTCTTCATTAACCTGTAGTGTCAATTTTTCTCCTTGAACATCAATCAGAGCTCTCCCT